GTTTTTTTTTTTTTTTTTTTTTTTAAATAACTGCAAGTTCTTTATTGTGGTCAAACTAAATGCAGTTCATTTAGTGGTGCAGGCTGAAATGAAATGCCTGTGAATGTTCTTTGAATCCATTTAATAATTTGTTATATCTTAACTATATAACAGCAAGGTGAGGAGAAGTAATGTCTGTGACTGAGTTTCCTGTAGGTAAAATCGGATAATTTGCAGCTTTTTTTCCTTGCTTCTGGTCCATTATTCATAATTTGGTCATCAGGGCTGTGTATTCTCTCTGTGTGAAGTTAGGTCATTGTAGACAAACAAATTCCTCAGTTTTGGAAAATTTCTTCTTGCTTTTTGCTTGCTTTGGTCCCTGTTTATATTTTTTATGGCAAAACTAAGGTTTTGGTGCTGATTTTAGCCCTTTATTGCTGTACTGAGAAGATCTGGAACCTGTTTTCTCAGTGACACTCCCATGAACAATTAGGAAAGTCAAAGCTGTAGGATTTTTCATTAGAGGTGATGGTGTACCCAAATGAAGATTTGGGTACAGAGTTACTGTTTTTTTCACACTGAAAGGTGGATATGACAAATTGGAAGATACTTATTTTTAAACAATTGACTTCTGTATGTAAAAATAAAGTAATGCAAAAGAGTATTGTAGAATCTACCACGACTGCCTGCTGTAATTGGGCTGCAGAAGTGAATTTTTGTAGTTTCAGTGATCTTTATGCTGTATTTCCAAATGTCTTATGAGTCCTGACGTGTTTCTGTATTAAAGGCATCTTCTGTTTCCAGGTCCCCAGCATTGTGAGGCTGCACTGATTTAATTTCATCCTGGATCTCTCCAAACCAATGACAACTATTTTTAGTTTTCAGTTATCTTCTAGAATACCCCATTGGAAAACTCCTTCAACCCACCAAATAATATCACTTTCCAAAATTACAAAAAAAAAACAAAAAAGAACCCCCAAAACAACATAAAACCTTCCAACCAGCAGGAGTTTTTATTTAAAGCCTTTTATCTCCTAGTACTTTTATCTTCTAGTACTTGAACTGTGATCCCCTTCTTGCTCTCTTATCAATCATTTCTTGCAGTTACTCACCTGCAGGAAGTGTGTTATCTATTGGGAATATTTTCTTTTCTTAATCAATGTTTGGTGTAGGAGGTTTAATTACTGTTTTTCATCCAGCAGTACTCTTTTCTATACATTCCTCTCAAATGTATAACAATCATTCTTACTGAATTACATAATATAAAAGTAAGAAATTTAATTTCACTATGAGTCAAGGAACTTTCCTCCCTTAAAACATTGCTTAAATTTGGACAGAAAATATTTCCAGGATGAAAAGCTAGGCTTGTCCCTAAGACTGTCTCTCATTTTTCCAAAAGATTTTTACATTGAGCAATGAATAATATTTTGCTGAAGCTTTCTTTGGCTTTTAGTCAAGTGCTATAAATGAATTCATTAATGGGAATTATTTTTGGGTAGCAGTAGTGGGTGTGTGTTTAAAGTCCAGTGGTGATGCATGGTACTGTGAGAGTCAAGTGTATTCCATCTTTTCTTCAGCAATTCTGAGAGTTTTAGTTTACAAGAAAGAAACAAACACAACAAAAATCCCCAAGCCTGTGGTGATCAGCCCTCACCCAAGAGCCAGTCTGCTGCTATTTGTGAGATTGAATTCTGGCCTGCCTGAATTCAATCTTTAAGCCTTTCTTTTGGTATAATTACAATAAATTATTTTTTTAGAAACAGAAGAAAATAAAGTATTTTTAAAATTAATTTTAGACACAGAAGAATTCTGTGCCTAAACAGCAAAAAAATGCTGAACATGAGGGCTGTGCTCACCAGTGCACATTGCACAGGTGAAAACCCAGAAAAATTTCTTTATTATGCTGGCAAAATTTAGGTTTTGTATATGGGGTTCACCTCTGGATTTACTTTTTGGCTGAAATAGAGGGTGTGGGAGGAGAACAGCAAAAAGGAAGGATAGGAATTATGATAGTAAATTTATTCCAGTTTGTTGGGTTCTTGACAGCAAACTGTTCTGTGTGTACTCATTGTGAAGAGGCCAACTTTGTGTAGTGATGTTGAAATATATAAAATAGTATTTGTGCAAATGTTGGACACGCTGCCCCAGACAGGTAAAGAGTAACTATCATAAATATATTTTCAGCATTTAACACTGGAAAACTATGCATATCTGGTTAAAGTTTAGTGTGGAGACTTAGGATGTCATTTAACCCTTCTCAGCATTTATTGCAGGAATGTATCTTGTCTGTGCTGGACTTTGGAACTTGTTAATTACCTTGTGCCTTGGAAATATGTCAGCTAATACCTGTTGTCACTCTGCAAGTATCTGCAAGTCTGGGATGTTGTGTAGTGCATGCTGGTGAATATTTAATATTATTAAATGTTAAGCTTGTGCTTCACTGAGGGCAGAGGCTCTAGAGAGCCTCTGATTAATTTATCAGTTTTCTTGGCCAGAAACATGTTTATTTGAGAAATGGTGAAAATGCCACTTGTGGGCTGTGTGTTCCCTCCCTGCTTCATTTTCAGTACTCGTGGATAACAATTGTGAAAGGAATGGGGGAAAAGGATTCGTTATTTACTTTCTGTGAAAAACGTTTGTGTTGAGTCTCAAATTATGGCATCTTTCATCCACATTAGGATTAAACCACCCTAAAATGCACAGAAACCTAATAAACAGGGAAGTTACCCTAATAGCTTCAGCCTCAGTCACCACATTGTTATTGAATATATTCCAGCTGAAATTTTTGCTGTTCTGGATATTGTTGTCTTGAAAATTATAGGTCATTTACAATTTCATTTTGAAAGCAGACGTACCAAATGAAAATACACTGCAGGATGTTGATAGCTGGAATTAAAATGTCTGCATAACTTCTGAATGCATTAATAGGGGTTTTTGTTTTTTTTTTTTTTTATGGAGGATTTTAGCTTAAGGAAGGATCTGTTTGTCTTGACATTTGAGTTTTGAGTAGGTAATTGTCAAAGTGGAGAGGGGTTTGTTGTTTAAGTGTAGATAAAGCACATTTTATGAATTTACATGGTAATTTAAATAGGTGGATGAACCTGGACAGAGCCAGCTTCAGCAAAGGAGGCAGTGAAAGTCCAGACACTTTGTCCAGTTTAAGGCTGCTGGTCTTTCTCTCCACTGGCTACTAAGGGGTACAGAGGGAAAAATATCTTTCTAGTCTAAATTCAGTCTTTTTGAACTTGCCTCTATGTCACAAACTTCTCCCAGTTCTGAGGCCATTTTGGGACTACAGAGATTTTCGTAAGAAAGACACAGAAAATAAATATTTTAGGGGTTGTCTTGAGACACTTCAGGTGTTAGATTTCTTTTGACCTTGGTTGTTTTTCCTCTTGGCAGCTCTGGAACGAAGGGATTCCTCCCTGCTGGGCAGCCCAGACGTCGTGGACCCAGCTCCCAGGAGAAAAAGAAGGCAAAGGACAGCAAAACCTGCAGGGACAGGAGCTAAGGTGGCTGCTTACGAGGCAGAGCAGCCAGCCCAGGAACAGTAAGCAGGTTTTAATTGTATTGGAATGTTTTTATGTTCACAGACCTCATCAGCGTCGTGGGATTCCAAACCCACCCCCCTGATTCTCAGCACCCTGAGATTCTGCCTTTGGGATTCCAGTGCAAGGAAATTACCTCTCAATTCTGTCTTTAATAGAATTTTTTCTGAACATGAAGTCTCCAGGCAGAAAAAACTGTTTGCTCTTACAACACAAAAGGGGTCAGGATTTGTAACAGTTAAAAGTATTTTTCTTATGTCCATTTCAACTTCTGGAAATCTTTCCACGTGTTCTGGGAGGTGCCTATAGCTATGCTATAAAGTTGCCTCAGAGCTCTGTTGGAATTGTTAGTATTTTCTTCAAAAAACTATTTTTTTTCTAAATATATGACAAATTACATTTGAAAATACATATTTTTAATTTTTATCTGTAATATTCCATGGATTGTAAACTCTTTCAACAGCCATGGACACAAGTAGATTACAAAGACATTTCCCATGATTAGCAAAGATTTCTGTTTAAATCAGCAGGAGAATTATCTCATTTTGACGTAAAAGTTGTGGTTTGACGCCAGCTAGGAATGCTTGAATTTACAATCCTGTTTTATTAGTTAAAAATTGCAATTTTTTAGGATGGTGTAGAAATATGCCAGACCTTGCTTTTTTGTTCTTTTACATCCCACTCCATTGCAATGGAAAATGCCCTTTCCCTTGTATTTGGTCAGTTTGATTTTGACAGCCTGGCTGTGCTTGCCTGAAATTCAGCTTCACTTTATTTAATATTGATTGTTGAAGGAAAACCTGTGGAGGCAAAGTATTGCAAATATACAGAGGCCTTGCACTGAGTAATTGTCTGTTTATGAAAATCTGAGTCCTGTGCATAGGGGGGCAACTAAGAAGATAATGATATTTTTGTTTTAATTCTTTGAAATAAGGAAAATTTCAGTAGAAACAGAGCAGTGTTATGATTTTCATATGTGCAAAGAATTTCTACTCTGAGTTAGGGCTAATCTAAAGAGTGGCTCTTCTTATTGGCTACAACATAGTTTCATTTTGATTCTGGACATATGGAACATCCATTCTATATCAGTCTCTATCTCCATTTTTCTTTCTTGCACTTTATGTGTCAGTGGAAATTCTTGGATTACATAGGAAGATAGGAAATATCCCTGTTTACCTGAAACATTACAAAAGCTGAACTGAAATAATTTCCACTTTCCTGGTCATTTTTCTCAACGTCACTGAAGTCTCTGAGCTTCACCTGAAGCCTTTTGCCAGCTGCTAATCAAGTTTTCAGTCAATTTGCTTGGCTAATAATTTTCAGTTCTCTTCAGCCTGTCAAAAGTGGGGAGATGGAGAATTAGCACCGTGATCCAGTTCACACATAGAGGTGTTCTTTTTGTGGAGCAATTTGTAATTACTCCAGTAGTTTGTGCTGATGGAATGCCAGATCCTTGGTGCTGCAAAGGGCTTTATCTTAAGCTGACAGCACGCTGGGGCCCTGCCCAAAATGTTTTCCAGTGTTGTGTCACTGAGCAAAAATTAAAAAAAATATTAAAATTAAAATTTATTTATCCAAGCCAAGGGGTGGCAGTGGGGGAAGTTGACTTGGAAGTTCCTTCACCTCTGGAAGTGCTCCATCACAAACAGGGAGATGGGGAGCATGTTCTGGGATCAAGTGCCAGATTTGATCTGATTTCGTGATCACATGTGCAAATGCACCAAGGAGTCCTCCCTCCTTCTGGGCTCTCCTGCTCAGACCTGCAGCCAGGGCTGGCTCCTTAATGTCAATAAAAATGTAAGTGCTTCGAGGCCAAGTCACACAAAACCCTTCTCCCACAGATCTTGCTTTATCAGATAGAGCTTATTTAGGGTTATTTCCCATGTGGAATTTCTGGTGACATCACCAGTGCTCTCAAGGGGAGGGAAGGGCTGCCACAAACCCACCACCTGCAGCCTGATGCTGCCCTAAAGCTGCTGCATCCTGAGTTCCTTGGTACAACATCCTAAAAAAAAAAATACTTAAAAATACCTTTATAACAAAGGAAAGCACCCAAGGTTTTATTCCTCCTTTGTCTTTCAGATTGCTTTTTGAAAACACAGTGTTTTTCAGTGTTATCACATAAGAAAAGTTGTGTCTTAACCTTTAAAAAAAGTTGTGTCTTAATTTTCATGTACTTCTCATAAGACTTCACAGTATGCTAAGAAAGTAGCATTTATCCTAAACTCAAGAGCATCTACAGTAAGTACTAAGCCATCAAAACCTACAGGATTCTATTTCTGCAAATATTTTAGATTTAAGGATGCTGAGGCTAGTTGTGTGGCAATTCTCTGCTCCTTGGAATGAAAATATATTTTTGGATATGACCAAAAATACTCAGAAGAATGCAAATAAAAATGTGCTTGACACAGAAATTAGAGCAAAAGGAGTGCTGCCTTTCTCATGCTTTGTGTGTGGGTGCAGTGGCAGGAAAATGAGTTGAATTGTATTTATCCATATGGGCATCTAGTATTACTGTGGCAATTTATTCAAGGGCTAAATCAACATTTCTAATGAACCTTGGCAATGTGCTTTGGATAATATTAAGCTTAGTGAAAGTAGCCATGAGAGCAGCAAGGAACTGAACTAGGATTTGTGGAACAAGGTCTCTAAGTGAACTGTTTAATTATTTGCTGAAATAAAGATGTACTTTAGGATAAAGTAGAAATGTAGAATGATTAGTGGGTTAGCCAGCTGCCAAGAATGAGGTTTATCCAGCTCTCTAGCAGGTTGTTCTTAAATCAGAGATATCCAGTGGAGGGAAATGCTTCTTTGGGCAGACAGATGTTACTTTTACTTAATAACAACTGACCTATGGCTCTTAATTTACACATTTTAAAAATATGTAAAGACAAAAAGTAGATCTTCCTGTTCAAAACACAATTGAGCCAGGAAGTAAAATAAAATTACTCTGATTCCAGTACACCACGATGGTCTTGGTGCAGCTTTAAATCTAACTTAGTATCTGGCAATTTCCTAAGGTGCAAGGCAGAGATAATATGTAAGTCAAGTTAAGATGCAAATTCTGCTTTTCACAATTTGCATTTCATAATTGGAGGAGAAAAAAAATTAATAAGAGCATTCCCAATCCACAGTTAGAAGTTATGCTTATTGAGGCATTACCCAAATCTCTTTGGGGGCTGCATGTGAATGGCACTATTAGCTGTGTGCAATATGCATTCAATATAGAGGCTTAGCTGTATGGCCTGTCAGCCTGAATCCTGTAAATAACTGGATGTTTCTGTAATATTTTCACTTTAAGAGTGCTGGAACCTACTAGAGAGCACACAGTACCTACTGAGGATGGCAAAAATTTTAATATAATTTTAAAAATTAAGCACAGTTATTTAAAAAAACCTGCAGTCAGAGACTACAGTGGAACAGAGATGGAGTGTCTATGACTAAAATAAAGATAAATCAGAAAAAAGCTTCCATTTCTAGTGCAACTTACACCTTTGCACTTTGATTTATCAAAATTGAGGGTTTTTTTAATAGTTAAGACTAACAAAACCGTGTTATTTCTGTCTTTCATTTTTTGCTAATGAAAGCAAAAAAAGGATCTTTTATGGTCCTCATTGATACATGTGTTTCCTAGGAGAAAGGCTTTGCTGGATAATGCTCAAAATATCTATAAGTTATTCTGTATATTTCAAAATATAATCCATTCCTGCTGCTCGAGGGTATTCATAATTTCTGTGCTACTTAATGCATGCCTGCTGTTGAGTAGATGTACAATTACAGAAGTGGTTTGGGGAAAGGCATCTTAAATACAGGAAAAACATTATTATGGATGCAAATACGCTGGATTCTCCTGAGAATAAGACTAGAAAAATACTTTTTAAAAAGTTCTTACAGAGGAAGTGCTCCATAAATCTGAGAAGCAAGTGTTAAGACATACTCTTAATCCAGCTGACTGAGAAATAACCTGTGTTTTTCCTTGTCTTTTTTTTTTTTTTTTTAAATGAGGAATTCCCTGTTTACACCAAGCACTGTGACTCTGACTTACTGGTTGTTCTGTGTGCCAAAAAATTCAGTTTTATAAGTCTGCTTCAGTACATTTAATGTCACTATTACTGCCTTTACCTTTTTTTTTTTTTTTTTTTTTTTTTTTTTTTTTTTTTTTTTTTTTTTTTTTTAATTGAAATTTGACTTTTGCTGGCTTGGTACTTCTTTCTTGAGTAATAAAATGGAGTGACTGTCAGAATCAGGCCTAAATGTAAATTGAAGGAAAGTGATACCTTATCTCTCTGCATTTGGCTTTGCTGAAATTTCGAGATGCAGGTCAATTTGATGGGAACTTTGCCACCAGTAATTAAATTACTTCTTTCTTTTACACATAAACCCTGCTTCTTCAGAGAGCTCTGAAGGGGTTCAACATATTTTTAGGAGCTCTCAGAAAAACCCAAGCAAACCAGAGAAACATAATCCGGTTTCTGAGCGTGTGTTTGAAGGTCCCTGGAGTTGCCAGGGGGAGGCTTGTGCCACCTTGCCATCCCTTGCTCCATCAGAAGGAATGTAATTTTTACTTTAAACACGATTGCTACGGTGCTCACACTCCCTGTTTGTTCCTGACTTCAGGGCCTGATTAAACTTAGTCATGTGTGTAATTGTGGGTAGAATGAGCTGCTGCATGGTTTTTGCTTTTTAATGATAAATGTGGATTTTTAATTTTTTTTTTTTTTTGACCAGTGTTCATGCTCTCCTCCCTTCAAAAGGTTTTTTTCGAGTCTTTGCAGGTATATGTAATTTATTTGGAAAGAAATCCTTTAGCATTGTATTCCAACACTGTAATAAGCTGGACTTGTCTTCTCTTTTGATGAACTTCCACCCCCTTAAAAGCACTCGGAGCCTGTGGTGAGCCCAGGGCTCCCTGGGGATCCTCTCTCTGCATTTGTTTAATTCATTGCTTGTGGTTCACATTTTTGGAGCGCTAATGCAGAAGTTTATTTAAAGTGT